AATTTGATGTAAGTGTCCAAAATTCTGTAAATTTGATGTAAATGATTTCCATTAAATTTACAGAATTTTGGACACTTACATCATATTTACATCAAATTTACAACCTTCAAAGCGCGCGATTTTTTCCAGTGTTCTCAAGTAGTATTCCTTCTATTCTCCTTAAATAGATTTGATTTCACCTTCAAGTGTAGAAGCTGTATTATTTCAAGAGGCATCAATTTTTTATAATTTTGTCAAGAACAACTTGAAAATTACCGATCAGGGAGAAATGATGCTTTCACAAGAAAAGATTCCCAAAGACTTCGATGTCCGATACTCTCGGGTAGCTGAACGGACCTCATATAGGGTCAGATCTCCCGATGGAAACCAATTTACAGCTCGGCTATCACATGAGACYCACAACGATATTGAAGGAACAAGAGAACTGTTTGGAGACTTGGTACGTCAAATATAATCAAATATAACCTCGCCAATACTCCAATTTCGAGTTCTGGTTTGCTCTGTGTTAGCCTCAAAACCAAGTAACATATTCTTTTGTTTCATTGATAGCTCGAAAAAACGCATGGAATTTGTGAAGAAAGACAATAAATTTGATTTGAAATCTCACACTTTTACGCTCACAACTAAGGAATATTTTGCGCACAAGTGAGGCTAACACAGAGCATTGGAGAATTCGAAACTGGAGTATTATACCTTGTCTAACGTCGAATCTCACATGCGCCGAAGTCGATGCAAATGACACGGTATTTATCAGCAACAAAAGATTGGACTAATTTACACATAGAATTTGGTTCATGTGAAATTCATGGTTTGATCCAGGCYCCCTTTATAAAAAATGAGATATCCTTACACCCTAGCATTTGCTACATCTAGGTTTTCCCTTTTTGAAAGGAATGAACCCTGCTTCATGATATTTGATGTTGACCCATTGATACGTTTGTGCTAAAAACTTGACCTTTTGACAGGCATTATAATTCAACAAAAAATTTTAATCCACTCTCATTGATGGAGAAAATGAATTAAAAAAATGATGTCAGATACTCCGGAGTATCTGAACGTAGCTCCTATAGGGTCAGACCCCCTGATGGAAAGCAATTCACAGCTCGGTTGTCACATGAAAGTCATGGCGATGTTCAAGGATTTCATGACTTGGTATATTATGATAGGGCATTCGTTCAGTTTTTCTTAAAATCCCAATTATTATCTAGAAAAAAGATATTGATTTCATATATGCCTCCTAGCCTTTGTTGCATTCAGACCTTTCCTCTTTAGTGTACTTAACAAAGAAACTTATTCGAAAACTCTGCAGATAGGCTTTTTTTGTCCATATTCCAACGTCAACTCAGATTCGTGATTTCATGTGTGAATAATCAGAATAAATATATATTTAATATACTATACATATTTTGATTATATCTCACACTTAGGACATCCATCTCCTTATTAATAATTGTTCTTCTATGACTTCAAAACAAGTAATTGAACAAGTACCACATCTGCTGAATTGCGCACGACGATTGGCAAGGTTAGAAACATTCCAATTTAAAATTGTTGCGCTGAATAGAATGCAATGGAATCCAAAGCTTGCCATTTTCGATTAAATCCGGGAACTAAATTGACGTATTCCCTTTCATTTCTGGTATACATTGTTATCAAGTAAGACCCTCGGACTGACAACTGTTTATCAAAAAAAAATTAAAAGAGAATTCTTTAGCTTTGAAAGAGAGTACCAAGGTGATCTGAGCACACTGCGGATTTCTTTTAGACAGCTAATATTTACAAAAACAAATAAGTCAAATAACATACAATATCAAAGATTAATAACAGTAATATTTTCTTGATTTTCTAATTTCAGGGTGTTTGAAAATGAATCAGATCAAAGTATGTACAGTTGTCTATTTATTATTTATTGTTGTTTGCATTGACGAAACCAGTGAATGAGTATTTTTTATATGTTCCAATCAACAGACATAGTGCCGTCGGAGATCCTTGCGCGTGGCCAAAGAGCACAAAGTGCCTATCAGACAGCATTGAAAAGTGGGAAAGTCAAAAACTGTCGCGTGCCCATAGTTTTGGTTGGCCAATCCCGATCTGGAAAGACAAGTTTACTCAGGTCAATTCATAGTAAGTTACTCATGTTCATTAAATGAGCTCACCGAGTTGAATTTTCTATTTTATTTTGCTTTCACTTTTGTACAAGGAGAGGAATTTAATCCTTCCGAAGACAGCACCATTGGTGCAAAGCTTCAGCGATCACTATCCAAGGCAGAAGATGATGACTGGCACAAAACCAACACTGACGAACACACAGTTTACAATCGATGTGCTGCAAGAGCAATGATACCACACTTGCTGGTGGTATATTCCATGGATTCGAATGACGACGATGATAACGATGAACCCGAATTCAATAAAGAAAACTTAATACCAGTAGACAACATCGTAARCAACAGCTTAGAAACATCTTCAGAAGAGGACAAGCCYCTCAYCWTTGAAGAAAACCTCAAGGTGGATAGCGACGAAGAAATAACACAAGAAGATTTCGAAAAGAGTCTCAATGGTRATGTCCAACCAAAACAGCTTCCAGAGCAAGTTGCAATATGCGCCAAGAATATTTTAGAAAACCCTGAATCTGCAAAGCAAATGGAAAATGATCTGTTTTTACACACCATGGACTTTGCAGGACAACCAGTCTACAGTGTCACGCACCCAGTGTTCCTTCCCCCGAAGGGGATCTTTCTTCTTGTCCATAACTTGGAAAACGATCTGCATGCTCAAGCGACTCCTATGGTAAAATGTGGAGCAGCAGAACGAATAATCGACAATCATTGTCCAATGACCAATATGGATCATTTGGAATCCTGGTTGTCATTGATTGCAGCTAATTCAACTCTCGAAGGTGGTTCTCCAGTCTTTGTGGTCTCTACTCATGCTGATAAACCGTTTAAGCCTGATGTCAAACAGACTGCAAGACAAATGCTCCAGAATCTCAAGAGGGAGGACTTTGCACCAAGAAGTCATGTTGTTAACGGCTTATACACTGTAGATAACACAGTCTCAGGAAGTGGAGGTCCCGATGACCCTGGCGTACAAAGATTAAAAGATGCTCTATCTAATGAAGCGAGGAACCTTCCACAACTTAATGAGGATATTCCTATTCGATGG